CCGGGCACAGAGCAGCGCAGGAAGGAGCCGCCCGGCCGGGAGGGCCTCCAGGAGCCCCTGGTGTTCGTCGTGGTGCCCGGCGTGGTGGCCGTGCTGCTGGCAGTGGGGGGGCTGCTCTTCTACAAGTATAAGTGCAGGGTAAGACCCCCCTCCCCGCACCGACAGCCTCTCCCCCCTCAGTTTCCCGCGTGGCCAGTGGGGGTTGAGCCTCGTTTTCCCAATCATTTTGAGATGGAGGGACAAGTGGAGGAGCTGAGTGGGGTGGGAGGGTGTTACTGGGGAGATCTTCCCCTTCCCCTGGGCTCATTCCCTGTTTCCCTCTCTCCACACAGGTCCTGGAGCAGCCACTGGAAGATGGAGACTGCGACCCCGAGGAGCCAGAGAGGAGGTGGGTGTGATATCATCCTGCCTGGGGGGGCTTTGGGAACCCCCACCCCGGCGACCCTGCCCTAAACCACCCCCCTTTCCCTCCCAGGGCGCTGCAGGGAGTGAGGGAATGTCCAGAGCTGGAGACTCAGGACCTCTGAGGTGAGCAGGGGTTGGATGGGACCTCACAGGGCTCCTGTCCAAGCCAATGTTGACTCCCTGGACTGTCCCCTTGGACCACAGGCAGGGAAATTCTGGGTGGGAAGGTGCTGGAGAGGAGCAGGTCTGGGCCCCAGCGCTGCCAGCGTGCGGTTTCTCAGCTCGTTAATCCATTACCGGCGCTTTCTTAATACTCCGAGTATTTTTTCCTGTGGTTTCCATGCGTTTCTCCCCCTCCCTGGCAGATCCTCAGCTCCCCATCACGTTTCTCCTGCTTTTCCCAGGGCCCCAGGCGGGATGTGAAGCTGGTGGGGGACGGATCCGGGTGGAAGGATCCCGACGCTCCCTCTTCCCTCGGCCAGAGACTGCAACCCCTCCCTGGCAGGGACAAAGGGATGGGGGGCTGTGCCCCCAGGGGGACCCCCAGCACCGGGAAGCGACGGGCTGGAAGGCGTTGGACTGTCACGGGATGGTGGCAGTGGCTGAGGTGACGCCGTGGTGCTGAGCTGGAGATGCTGGATTTGGAATGGTGGATCCTGCTTGGACGTGGCTGAAGATGGAGAGGTCCAGCTCCTCAATCCTCTGGCTCTTCTGGTTTGGAGCAGCACCCGTTGCCTCCCTCCACCCTGCCTTTCCCAAGGCTTCAGCTGGAGCATCCTGGATGCTGTGGGGGGCCCCCCAGCCCTGATTTGCAACTCAAACCCTCACACTGTGAATATTTAAAGCCCCCCCCCGTGCCCGTGTGGGGCCGGGTTTGGGGGTGACCCTTGACACCGTCCCCATTCCCATCCTCCTGCCGCTCCGTGTCCGAGCTGGCCTCGGCCTCGCCCTCCTCGGGGGCTGTTTTTAATAGAGCTGATGAGAGTCTTTATCCTGCACAAGTATTTTGGAGGGGCCCCTTTGCCCCTCGCGGGGTCCTTGCCACGAGCTGGACTCGCTGGGATCCCGTTCCTGCGTTTTGGAGAAGGGAATGGGGCCGGGAAGGACGGGATCCACATGGACCTGAGAGATGGAGCAGCCCCAGCCACGCCTCTGGGGGCTTTTAGGCTCAGCTGGATTTGGGAAGATGCACCAGCTCTGGAGACCCCCTAAAATCCAGCGGCTCCGTCCGACCCCGGGTGAAGCATGGCCTGAGCTGCTCTGGGGGTTTGAAGTGTTATTTTTCTAGGAAGGATGAAAATATGGACAAACCAAACTGCTTTTAAGGAAAGCATCGCTATTAATTTGGGTTTTTTATATATATATGTGTATTTATGACTGTCAGAGAGAGGGGGTTCCTGTGTGAGGGACTGGTGTAAAGCAGGAGGAAAGCCCTAATGCAGCAGGAAGGCTGGGGCCAAACTCCTGCTGTGGTGTAAGTTTACACCATGGAGGAGCTGATCCTGGGGGGGAAAACTTGCCTTTACCCCTGTTGGATTGAATTTGCCTTTTTTTTTGTTTGTTTGGGTTTTTTGTTGGTTTGTGGTTTTTTTTGTTGTTTGTTTTTTTTTTTATACAATGAAATGTTGAAATATTTTATACAAAGGCATTTAAAAATCTATTTAAAGAAAATAATGGAAAACAACTTGTATATTTAATATTATTAATAAACAGAGAGGTGTAGCTTGGTGTAAGTGAGGGGGGGCTGGAGCCTGTGACCCCCCCCTGTGCCAGCCCTGGGGTCCCTGAGGGGCAAAGTCCTGGCTTGTGTCACCCTGCCCCGATTCCCTGTGGATGCACGTGGGAGTTCATGGCCACTGGAATGAGAGCAGAGGGATGGGATGGATCCATCCTTCCTGCCCCCGCCACTGGGAGCTCCAGGCGCCGGATCCGCCGCTGAGGCCCCCCCAAAATCTGCGTGAAGCAGCTGCTTAAAGCAAACACACTTGAGGCAGAGCTTCCTGGAGCCGCTTTGCTTGGAGAGACAGCGCTGGAAGAGGCATTTCCTTCCTCTCCCTCAGCCCCCTTGGCTCCATTTCCCTCTTTCCAGGAGCGGGGGAGCCCCATGTCCCACCCCCCCTGCAGGGATCCGGCATTTCTGGGGGGATACTGGGGGGCTTCCACACCATCCTGAGCCCCTCCCAGCTGCGGGGGGTGCAGGGTGACCCTCCCCCTGCTCATCCCGGCCGTTGGGAAGGGCGGGATGGGATCCAGGAGCGTTTGTGGCCGGTCGTTTGCTGACAAACAGGATTCCTCGAGAGGAGCTGAGTCAGCCCAGCTCTTCCTCTCCTCAGCAGCAGCCGGGGGTTTCCCAGGTCCACATCCCCTTCCCAGGGAAGTGGGACCTATAAATATCCTATAAATATCCCACTGGATCCGGGCCACAATCCTTGTGGTCGGATTTGGGGGGTATTTGAGGTCGGAGGCTGCTCTTAAGGATGGGCAGAGTGCCCAGATTTGGGGGTGCTGGGGGCAAAGAGCCCCTTCCCTGCTCCTGGATGCTCCAGGCAGCTCCAGGTGGATGTTGGCTGCCCAGGAGAGGGTGTTCACTCTGGAGCTGAATGATGGCAGCTTAAAGCTTTGGGAGAGCTCAGGATTTACACCCCAAAATCCCTCAGCCCCAGCTTTTTCTGGCTGCTCCGAGCAGCCCGAACCTGTAGAAGCACGTGGAAAATGCAGGAAAAAAGTGAAAGCCTTTCTCCTCATCCCGAGGTTCAGGCCGGGAGGGTCCTTCTGCTTCTCATGTCCCCAGCTGGTGGCCTTTCCCCACCCTACCACCGACCCCAGTGGGAGCAGAGAGGAGATTCTGTGCCCTGAGCAGCTCCCCAACCCCAGGCCCCTGCAATTTGGGAGGGCAAAACCTTCTCTAACCCCCCACGTTGGGGATCCCACAGCTGGGGGGGACATGGAGTTGTATCCCTGTCCCTCCACGCTTGTACGGGAGGGGGGAAAAGAACCCCCCTCCCCAGTGTTGAATGACAGGGGGTGGTGGCACCCCGGGGGTCCCAAATGGGTGTTTGTGCCTTAAAAAGCTGCTTTGATGGGATGAGAAAACAGGATTTGGGGGAAAAGGTGGGTGTTGGGAGGGAAAGGCATCAGCAAGTGGCTCCTGGGACCTGGAGCAAGGGCTGGCACAGGATGGGACAGGGCAGGACAGATTGGGGTCACCCCACCCCACCACCCACCCCGGGGGTTCTGGGGGTCCCCAGCATCCCTGGTGGTTGTGGCATTGGCAGGGCTGGGACCTCCCAGCTCATCCGCTGCCCCCAACCCCCCAAGCACTCTGAGACCAACCCAAGAACCCCCCAAGTGCCTCGAGACCCCCCCAAATGCCCGGCGCGGGCTCTGCCCGCCCTGGGAACCCTCCCCGGCGTGGCCACGGGCACCGCAGAGCTGCTGACGGGGCAGAAGTGCCGGAAAGGCCCCGAGGCCGCGGCTCCGGGGGCACGGCGGGGCCGGGACAGGGGTTTGGCCCGGGAGCCGCTGCAGGATTTTGGTGGCCAGGGACCGTTTTGTGGCCAGACAGAGCGATTTTGGTTAAAGGCCCTTATCTGTACTTCCCCCCGGGGTTTTAACCCGAGTGCTGATGTTTGCCCAGGCTGTACTTTCAGGGAATGCCCCTGGGAAAGCAGGGCTCGGACCCCCCCGCTGTCTGTGGGGTCGGGGTCAGGGTGCCCCGGGGGCAGGGGGGCACAGGGGGGGCCTGTCCTGGGACAGGGGCACGGGTCGGTCCCCAGAGCCCCTTGGGGACCCAGAGCCGGGCACCACTGCCCAAGGGGCAGGACGGGCCCCTCGGTGCCCCCGGGGACGGGCCGGGGGCGTCCCTTCTCCCCGGAATAAAGGGGTCAGAGGAGACCCCCCCGCAGGGAGACCCCCGGGAGGAGGAGGAGGACGAGGGAGGAAGGTCCTGCCCGGGCCAAGCACCTGCAGAGGGGGCTCAGCACCCCCGGCCCGGGATTTAACTAATAATCGAACTGAAGCAATTAATCTGATTTATTTAATTAAAATATTTGTATCTAAACATATATAATGTGTGCGCAATGTACGCATAATGACATAACGTTTATGTAATTAATCTATTAAATTAATAAAATTAAATTATATTATTTAATAAAATATTATGTAAACGAAATATTATTTAATAAATATTATGCAATAAAATTAAATAATAGATTAATTAATATTACTAGCATATATATTTAGATCTAATTTATATAAAATTCTATAATTAATTTATATAATTTTTATATTTGATATACAACTTATAAACGTGTAACTATTTATTTTAATTTACACAATTACTATATATTACTATATATATAATTATTATATAATTTATTCAATTATATGCAATTCATCTTTAATTAATAAAATTTATTTATTTTATGAATCTACATATACATACATATTTAATTTATATATTTATATTTAATTTAATTCATGTAATAATTTATTTAAAGTGTCATTTAATTCATATATTAATCATTATGTATTAATAAATGATACTTAAATGTAATTTCTTTTAAATGTATATTATCATTTTATTTAATTTATATAATTTAATAACGATATGTATGTTATGCATATAATTGTATTATACATAACTATATTATACATTATATATAGCACATAATTACATTACTTCTATTATATACTCTATACA